GGAAGCCGAAGCCCACCTCGAAACACCATTCCCGTAGTCACCAGTTGATAAATGTCTCCTAAAAAAGTATATTAGAAATTTTGGTCATTTGAATACCACCACTCAGTTAATTCCTCAAAGATTTCTGAAGGGAAGAAAATCAGGCCAGGAGCCTTTCCCTTTCTCAGTAAGGAAATATATGATCTTATTTGAGAATCGGAGATGAGAGAGTGATCTGCTTGTAGCTTAACACATACAATTTTGTTCAGCAAGAAGCTACCATATCCTTCACCATCTACAAATAGGTTCTTAAACTTGTTTTTAATAAACAAACCCATGTGTCTTCAGGGATATATGCATCAGGAATTAAGCTAATTTTTTGTCCCTTTGGCTATAATTTGCTAAAAACATCACTTATCATTATTTTCCCCTAGAGCTACCAGTTCTTCCCATAGCCTCATTTGATATTGTTTCTTTTTCTTTATGTTATTTTCTTGTGTCCTGTTAGTCTTCTTGATTGGTTGGAAGCTAGTACAGTCATTTTAGCCTTGTATTCCTCCAAAACCTCTACTGAATAATCTTTAACTTTAGAGCATCCCTATTCAAACCAGGGTTTGTGGTACCAATACTGCCTGTTCCCAGCAAAGATGTTCTCTTTTGTGGGGACATTTTCCAGCTGTTGGATAACTGCTTCATATTGGGTAATTACATCTTAGTGTTCTTGTCCTTTGAGAATGAGATGAGTGGCCTTAGAAGGTATTTTTAAGTATAGCAACACATTTTTCTTGTAACTAATTATTTTGTTTAATTCTCTTTTTATTTATTATTTCTAAACTGGAGGCTATGTGTATAGTTTTTGGGGGAGGCTACCCATAAGATTCTAATGGAATTTTGAGAGAGAGGGAAGTGGTTACTTTCCATACATGGTAATATTTCAAGTGATTTATATTTGAGCCACATACATGGTTCTCATAATATAAAATCTATTATGCTTGCTCCTTTAGTTGTAACAAATGTGAATGTCCCAGGTACATCTTTGCCAGTTCATCCATTAGACATTTTAAAATTATCTTCTGCAATGAATTTCAGGAAACATCATCCGCCTTCATTTAGCTTTTTATCACATAACGTTGCCGCGGGGATTCCCCATATTTCATTAGTGACATCTTCATTATTGTGATTGTTTGTGCCACCCATTCTAGCATTAAAATCTCCTGCTATTAATTCTAATTCTGGACATTTGTTTTGGATCATCTCAAGAGCATTATATAACAATTCCCATTTCAAGTTTGCATCAGATTTTAGTGAGAGTGAGGGGAAGTAAGCATTAATGTGAATTAAGGGAGGTCTACCATGAAATGTAATGAAGACTGTTGGTAGACAGTTAGAATCTATTTTAATTTCTAATCCTTCAGTCAGACTCCTTATTGAGAGAAGTGTAATGATGAAGACTTCCTGCAGGTACCCTTTGGGATCTGTCCTTCCAGCCACTTTTATAAAATTAAATAAGCTGAGGAATGGATACCATTTCCGTATACTATGTTAGCAGGGAAGGAGGTAGAGAATCATAGAGTCATAGAATCAATGAGTCAGAAGGGACCTAGACAGATCATCTCGTCCGACCCCCTGCCATGGGCAGGAAGGAGCACTGGGGGTGGCAGGGGTCATAAGACCCCAGCCAGGTGCCTATCCAGTCTTTTCTTGAAGATTTCCAGGGAAGGTGAGAGCACCACCTCTCTGGGAAGCTTATTCTAGGCTCTGGCCACCCTTACAGTGAAGTAGTTCTTCCTAATATCTAACCTAAACCTGTCCTCCCTCAGCTTGTGGCCATTGTTCCTGGTGACTCCAAGGGGGGCCCTGGTGAACAGACTTTCCCCGAGTCCTTGCTGGTGGCCCCTGATAAGGTTGTAGGCAGCCACAAGATCCCCCCTCAGTCTCCTCTTGCGGAGACTGAAGAGATTCAGGTCCCTCAGCCTCTCCTCATAGGGCTGGCCACGGAGGCCCTCAACCATACGAGTGACCCTCCTCTGGACCCTCTCCAGGTTCTCCATGTCGCTCTTGAAGTGTGGCACCCAGAACTGGACACAGTACTCCAGCTGCAGCCTGACCAGCACCGTATAGAGGGGGAGCAAGACCTGTCTGGACCTGTTAGTGATGCCCCTGTTGATGTATGACGGGGTGCGGTTGGCTCTGCCTGTTGCTTTGTCACATTGGCGACTCATATTCATCCTGGAGTCAATCCTGACTCCAAGATCCCTCTCTGCCTCTGTCCTGCTGAGAGAATCAACCCCTAACATATAACCATAACGCTGGTTCCCTCTCCCCAGGTGCAGCACCCTGCACTTGTCCTTGTTGAACCGCATCCTGTTCACATCCGCTCACTTCTCTAACCTATCCAGGTCTGCCTGGATGCAGTCCCTGCCTGCTGGTGTATTCACTTTACCCCACAGCTTGGTGTCATCAGCGAACTTGAACAAGGTGCTCTCCACACCCTCGTCCAGGTCACTAATGAAGATGTTGAACAGCACCGGCCCAAGGACCGAGCCCTGTGGGAC